AAAAATAACTGAGGAATAAACTTTATCCTTCTTTTGAAGATATTTTGCATAATCCACCATATTTTTATCCAAAATGCCTTAACCTTTCGGCAGGTCCACCATATATGAAAATATGTAGCATCTTTTTCCATTTTCACAACGTATAAATCACATGTATGCTATTACATAACCAACATCATTTTGTATTATTAAGTGTTTACATGGCAGATGCATGTGTCACAGTTTGGGCACTCATTTGCCAAAAAGGTTTGCCATGACTGGTTTATCCCATCCTCTGTGGGTCACTGGCAGTGGTGGGATTCAGCCAGTTCGCACCTATTCGGGAGAACCGGTTCTTAACTTTCTAAAAGATTCAGAGAACCGGTTGTTGGAAGAAATATTCTTTTGTTTTTTTTCCACTTTACAGGGCTAATCCTGCAAGGAAGGCAGGAAGGAAACATTCTGGTGTTGTTTCTAGCTTAATCTCTATTGCCCTGCTTACAGAAACTGCCTCTCCAGTTACATTGTACATTGTAACAGCTAAGGCAGAGTGCCCATTGACCTGAGTAATGTTGAGTTGGCCATGCCCACATGGTCACATGACCACCAAGCCCCGCCTAGCCACCTGATCATTAGGACAGAGAACCGGTTGTTAAATTATTTGAATCCCACCACTGGCCCACTGGCCAATCTGTGTTGGGCAGCCTGAAAAATCAGTTCTCCATCTGATTGAAATGATTTGCTTTTCCCTGCAGTTCAGTGGAAAAAATCCTGGAGTTTTCTGGAGCCAAGTGGTACACGCCCGGTCTGGAACCAGTGATAGTCCATGACATCTTATCGGACAGCATTCCAGATATCAGGGATGACGATAGCATGGAAATCACTGCGATGATGCACGAGGCGAAAGAAGACGGCGATCTTTTGAATAGCGCGTCAGATCTAAACCTAGACGATGAGCCAGATCTGAGCAACATGCCCGTCGATCTCCAAGACTACCTGGATGAATGGAAAGGATATAGTACGTTTCCAGGCCGGGACCTCCAAGCCTACGAGGCAATAGTGAACCCAATGGATCAGATTACGCCAGAAGAATCTAAAGAAATGGGAGAAGAAACTAGAAGTCATTCTGGGCCACCTGGAGAAGGATAAGAAATGAAGGGGGGGGGGGAGAAGGACAGATCTGCATGTAGTATCGGGCCTTGAAGAAGATTCTTATGCAAGCTATTTGATTCTGAGACGAAGGAATCTTGGCTTATAAACAAGCGTTACTTCAGGGTCCGAAAACCCGGTTGATTAAGATCAGGGAAAGTCTTCAGATCTTCAACCTAAAGCAAATCCTAACAAATTATTTATTTGATTATATCAGCAAGGCATTTTTCATATCTTTCCCCCCCCCTTAACACTGAAGCTAGAGCAGGGATGGGTGACGTTTTCTGCAGAAGGTCCCGTGTGGGTAGAACTTAATCAGTGGGTGAAATTAACTATGGTCTCCTTGTGCTTCCTTACCTTTCCGACATTCATTTTCTCCGTTCTTTCAGAGCAGACTAGTATGGACCACTCTCTTCAGGAGTCTAAACTTGGGCTTGTAGGCAGCTTTGGGAAAAGGTAGCATTCAGGGTGCAGGCTATGCACCCTTAAAATATACGTCGTCTTTGCCGATTCTGGATTTCTCGTTGACTGATGATGGTGTCGTACTGCATTTCTGCCCTGTTTGTTTCCTTTTTTTAAATAAACGCTTTAAAAACCCTCGAATCTGTCTAGTTCTTTGAAATGTAAGGAAGGTAAGTAAACGCAGACATGCTGAAGAATTCCACAAGAAAAGGAAGGGAGGAAATATAACGCTCCATTGTCATCAATAAGGGCAATATCGATAAGGGCAATTGGCTTCCATTCTATCAGAAGATTTGAAACTGTATTTTTAAAATCTGGCTGGGTGTTCACCTCATCTCACACTGTATATTAAAAAAAAATCAAGCATCTTTTAAAATGTGGGTCTGTTTTGCAACTTGAGGTGAGAAGGGGTTTTTAGTAGATATTATTTATAAAAAGTTGAATGGCTCTATGCCTGTAAACAATGAGACAAAATAGAAGAATGTATCTTAGTTTATATGCAAGGATGTTCAATAGCAATAGCAGTTAGACTTATATACCGCTTCATAGGGCTTTCAGCCCTCTCTAAGCGGTTTACAGAGTCAGCATATCGCCCCCACAGTCTGGGTCCTCATTTCAACCACCTCGGAAGGATGGAAGGCTGAGTCAACCTTGAACCGGTGAGATTAGAACTGCTGAACTGCAGATAACAGTCAGCTGAAGTGGCCTGCAGTACTGCACCTTAACCACTGCGCCACCTCGGTTCTCACCTCATCTCACACTGTATATTTAAAAAAATCAAGCATCTTTTCAAATGTGAATGTTTTCCCACTTGAGGTGAGAAGGGGTTTTTAGTAGATATTATTTATAAAAAGTTGAATTGCTCTATGCCTGTAAACAGTGACACAAAATAGAAGAATGTGTCTTAGTTCATACGCAATGATAGCTTATCATTTTAGTTCATCATTTCTGAAAAGCCAGTTTGTTGAATAAGGGGTGTATACATGCAGGATCTAAACCATCATCATCTACCGACAAATCACAGTGTCGGAAGTCACATTAGAAACTGATGGGACGCGGTGGCTCAGTGGCTAAGACGCTGAGCTTGTCGATCAGAAAGGTCGGCAGTTTGGCAGTTCGAATCCCTACCGCCGCGCAACGGAGTGAGATCTTGTTACTTGTCCCAGCTTCTGCCAACCTAGCAGTTCGGAAGCAGGTAAAAATGCAAGTAGAAAAATAGGGACCACCTTTGGTGAGAAGGTAACAGCGTTCCATGCACCTTTGGAGTTTAATCATGCTGGCTACATGACCACGGAGACGTCTTCGGACAGCGCTGGCTCTTCAGCTTTGAAACAGAGAGGAGCACCGCCCCCTAGAGTCGCGATTGACTAGCACATATGTGCGAGGGGAATCTTTACCTTTAACAAACTAAACCCAAAGGATAATAATCTGTGACCCAAGATGCTGGGGTTTTTGTGTTTATGCGTGTGTCATCTAGGTTTGAAGAAATAACTTTAGATCCCTTTTCTTTGAAAAATTTCCCTCTATGATTCGAAGAAATGATCTGTTCACTCCAATTTTTAAGGGAGTCAACAATTCTGAATTCTGCAAAATGAAGACCGTCTCCCACAATCATATTTGGGTGGGGGGTCCTTTAGTGCCCCAAATCTCATATTTCGAAAATGAATACCTCACCCCAACATCAAACAACTTATTTCAAGGTTCTGTAGGTTACCACAGCCGAAAATGTATCATGTTGGAATGGAAATTACCAGACCGAGTTCTCAGAAATTTAAACAACAGCAAGACACAGTTCTGGTAGCACAATTCTATTATTAGATGGTAGCAGCTATTTTAAGCCATTTTTATCTTTTGCTGATAGATTGGATTAGAGACTGGTAAATCAGAAAGTTCTTGGCTACTGTTTTTTTTTTTATTAGTTTTGACAGGAAGCAGTTTGAACGTTATATTTATAGTCAGAAAGCTGGCTGCTCACAGCAGAGCTTATTTCAACCATGGCCTGCTTAACAGGCAGCAACTGATAAATATTAATCCTTTAAAAATGCAGAGGATGGATGGAGATTCTTTCCTTCATTTCCATCTACTTTAACAAGCTCAAGGGGACCTGGTACATCTGGGTAATTGAAGCCTAGAAATATCTCTCGTTGGTGACAGAAATCTGACTTGGTGAGCCCTCGGCAAGAGGCAGTTGATCAAAAAACGAATGGCAATCCAGAAAATCAAAATGCAGAATAACAAAGTTGGAAGGGACCTCGGAGGTCTTCTAGTCTAACCCCCTGCTCAAGCAGGAGACCCTATACCCAATCTCTTCTTAAAAACCTCCAGTGTTGGAGCATTCACAAGTTCAAGCAAGCTGTTCTACATAAAGCCCATTGTGAGTTGTTCTTCCTTGGGTAGGCCTTCTAAGACCGTATTTATCTGAGATGTTCTCCAAACGAAGTGAATCTCCTTCTAAACAAACATTTGACATAAAAGCCTGAGATACGCTCCAGATTCTACCATCATCAATTAACTATGATGAATGTAAGTATCTTCATTCTGTCCTACTGTTATTGTTGAGTTTTGAATTTTGAATTTGAGTTTTGATCTTTCAAAGATCAATAGGCACAGCCCCTAAGAACAAAGAAGCCAAAACATGTGAGAAAAAGCTATATCAATCCATCAGTCTTAAAAGTTTTTTTTTTAAAAACCATGTACTCTTCATTAGTTTCTGGAGTCCTGGTTCTTGGCTCAATAAATCCAGACATTTCTGGCAAAAGATTTTCATAGAAAAGTAGGAAACTAGTTAACCGGGGCAATCCATACATATTCCAGCTTCACTATTACATGAAGACAGTTGAAGATTGCTCTTCTCAACACTGACCAGATTATTGGGAGTGTGCCGAGACCACATATTTTAAACAAAAACATTCACAGAACTCATGCCTTTTTGTAGTAACCACCTTCTTAAAACAGCACGGATGAGATTAAAAATGAGGAAGCTCAGCTACACTTCCTTCGCTAGAATAAAATAGAGAAGTTGACCAAGATATCTAAAGTGAAACTCGATGTTTATTTGCCTCTGGAGAGCTCAAAAGGAAGGCAGAAGTGTTGCTTTCACCGCGTTTTAGAGGCAAGAGCTTCGCAACACGTCAAATCATTTCCAGGGTTCTATCAGGGCAGGATTTTGTCTGTCTTCATTAAGAGTAAGTTTCCAACTGGTGGGATGTGCTTGCTTGCGATTTTTCCTTAGGACTATGTCTATTCCTAACTGTATGGTTTGGTCCTGTTACAGAGAGTCAGTAGGCTAGACATGGCTGTAAGAGAGTTCCATCCATTGTGTGTTTTGTGTGAACCCAATCTACTGCCCTTTACTCAACAAAAGGATAACTGCACCTTATTTAACATGGTGAAAACATGTCCAAAATGCTTCCTGTTGTTGTAAGAAATGTCCTTCTGGGTTCAGCTCCAAGTGGGGAAGAAGACACTGGAGACATGGAGGCTGCTTGG